GTCCTCTGTTTTCTTGCTATGACGTATCCTTGGGGGATGGTCTTGCTGAGATTGGGGAAATATTCTGGGCCAACGCAGGTTGCTTTTCTTAATAAAAGGCAGTTATATTGCAAAGGAGAAAAGTATATGCCAGTGATCTCAAATATGAAGATTTCCCTCTAATTCTTGAATGATCAGATAACTAGAACCATCAAACACATCACCAACCCAGTGTTTGAACATTTTATTGAGCTTCAGAGAGATCTGGCATTTCTGTGATTGAAACTCTACTAGAACCTAAACCCTGCTTTTCTTGATGCTAGTAAAGGACCCATCTTCTTAACTTACTGGATTTAATTACCTGCGTAACTGTTTACTGACCCAGTGTTTCAATAAACCTGCTGTTTGGTCAGTATATCAGGAATCAGTGAAATTGGTTTCTGAATGAAATTGCCAAAGAAAGAACTTTAGAGTGTAGTCCTATGCTAACATGGCTTTTTATCTGGTGATGCTATACTGCCGCCTCAGGATAAGAGTGTATTCATCGGAATAGACATCTTGATCTGTGTGCCAGTGAGGGCAGAGACTGACTGAAGACACCATTAACAGCCAATGGAAAGATGAGTTGGCAAAGGCTGTTTTTTAAAGCTTTATATTGTGGTGGAGATACTAAACACATTTTATCTTTAGAAGTAAAATGTTTTCATGGTTTCCCTCATTAATCATTTTGGTCAATTCAGATACTTTTCACTTAATATTTGAATATATAAATCTAATTTCTGAAAGTGCCCTCAGTGGTCCCGGATTTGTCTCTTGCTTCAACAGTGGACGGAACAGACCCAGGGACACCCTTTCTTCCAAACTCCGGCCGCTCTCCTGCGTCTTATCCAGTCACGACCTTCAGAACCACCTCCGGGACCAGCCAACACACCTTAACTCTTATCGCCAAACAACCATGAGCTCCCAAATTCGTCAGAATTATTCCACCGAGGTGGAGGCTGCGGTCAACCCCTGGCCAACCTGCCTCTGCGGGCCTCCCACACCTACATCTCTCTGGGCTTCTATTTTTATTTTGACCCTGAGGATGTGGCTCTGGAGGATGGGGGCCACTTCTTTCTCGAGTTGGCGGAGAAGTACAAGGGCTCTGAGCGTCTCTTAAAGATGCAAAATTGGAAGCCGCCCTCGCCTTGGAGAGGAACCTGAACCGGAGCTGCAGGCCCTGGGTTCCACCGCACAGACCTTAATCTCTGTGACTTCTGGGAGAACCACTTCCTGAATGAACAAGTGAAACTCATCAAGAAGATAGGCAAGCCCTGGACGATCTGGCTCAGTGGATGGAGCATTGGCCTGCGGACTGCAGGGTCCCAGGTTCGATTCCCAGTCAGGGCATATGCCTGGGTTGCGGGCTCGATCTCCAGTAGGGAGTGTGCAGGAGGCAGTGGATCGATGACTTTCTCATCATTGATGTTTCTATCTCTCTCTCCCTCTCCCTTCCTCTCTGAAATATATGGGCGACATCTGACTCACCTCCACAGGCAGCCGGCTCCCAGGCTGGGCTGGGCGAGTATCTCTTCGAAAGGCTCACCCTCAGCATCCCTCTGGTGTCTGGCTTTGCCTGAGCCTCTCCCTGAAACTACTAGCCATTCTTTTAAACACCCTGAAGCCCTCTCCCATGCATTGGACCAAATGAAACAATAAAGTTTTTGCAGAAAAAAAAATCTAATTTCTCTAGTGTTTTTCCTCCCTCTGAATATTCTTTTTAGTTCTTCAGGTAAAAGATATTTTAGACCTAGTTTAAATAAGAAAATATATTAGTGATATGTGTGTAATCATCTTCAAGATTAAAAATAATTTTTATTTTTAATGAAAACAAGTTTGTCACCCTCTCTTTAAAACTACTGTCCAAGGTGGTACTCCCAGGTCAGGCCCAGAAACAACCGGAATTGTCTGATGGTTACATAATCACAGTTCTAATGAACTGGGCCACATGTATTTTTTAGGTTTCAAGGAGCAGTAAAATAGTATGATGTAAAGATTTGTACTCATACTGACTTTGATGATTCCGTCTCAAAAGCACACTTATATTTTGAAATTATTATGTTTGCTTAGGGGACATGTGTTGTTTGGAAGGTTGGAATTATGGTAAGACAGCTTTTGCAAACAATGTATTAGAAGCCATATGAAGAGTTTTAAAAATCATCCAGTAATGCCTATTTGGCTTGCAAAATCTGCAGCACTTCTACTAATACATTTCAGTGCTTGTTCTTCTCACCTCTGATCGTTCTCGTTCCCCTCCATTGTGTCCTACGGATTGATCCATCAGATATAGACAGCTTCCTCAGCAGGAAGATGCCAATAAAAACCAAAGACCAAGAGGTAGAGTCTCTTGGAGCCATCATGAATTCCACCCTTTTCTTGTTGCTGATTTCTCCTTTTTTAAAGGCACACCTTTAATATATATATACTAGTATCTATTTTTGGTTTTGGTTTTCATGAACGTAAACCAGATTCTTATTTCAGGCAGCAAAACCAGTTATTTCGAAAAAAGCCAATACTAAAAAAATCAATGTATTATTTGGTCACCTGTGGAATCCGTTAGATCCCCCTCTCCCCTGCCCTTAAGTGCTTCATGGTTTTTTTATTCAGTCAACCTAAAACAACGCCTCTTTTCACCATTACCTGCCTGTTCTCGGTCTGCAGCATGGCAGTGCAATTGACCATGAGGTGCTTTGGCAATCGGAGTTCTTTTCCAGTTGGTCTGGGCTCCCTTTTCTTTCCCTCAGTCCTGAACTGCAGAGCATCGGCCAAGACAATGCTGTCACATCAGGAGGGGCAGAGGGTTTGCTAGGGTCATGGTCCTCTCAGCTTTGTGCCTTAGAAGCACCTCCTGAAGCCTGGGGTTGGTGTGGAGACCAGACATGAGGAAAAAGACTTGGGAGGGCCTGTCTCTGGCTCTTCTCCCACCTCTGCCATAAAAGATTCAACAAGACTGACGGGATGATTTGAGCTGCTTCATTGCCACCAAACTACACCCTTGAGTTTGTTTTTTCTGTAAGTGATCTCGTGAGGCCAGTGGGGGCCTCTGTCTTGATTAATGACGATTATCCTCTAACAGCAGCTGGATATGGTGGCTTGGTGCAAGTTTTTGACAAAGAAAATTAGGCTCTGAAAAACATTTCTCATCAGAAACTGTAAGTATATTAAAATGCATTTAAAAGTTACTTCTGGGAAACATATTAAATAGGTCAATCATTTAATCATTTGTTAAATGTCAAACTCTATAAAATCATGGTATAATGTCACCCTGACATAAAGCAACATCAAAATTAGTGCATCATCTATAAAGTGAAGTATCATTTGCCTTTAAGTGACAAATTCTACTGCCAAAAAATACCATTATACTTCTAATAAGTGACATTCATTTTAATAGACCCTACAAAAATACAATATTTTCAATGTCCCCATAAAACATTTAACTTACAAATATTATTCTCAGAGCTTCAGTGACATCAATATGGGTTACTACTGTGAAAATCCTAATAGAGGACTTGAAATACTAGTGTGCAAAGTAAATTTATTATATATATATATATTAAAAACAGCTATATGGAAATATGAGAGATAATTCATACAACTTTGGGAAATTATTCTAAAATTTCAAATTAATATTTTAATCAAATTAATAATAACTATATAAAAGAAATGTCTTTAAAGGATTATAAAATGAATTTATTTTTTTATTGAGGAAAACAGTTCTAATGTAAAAATAACTAAGTCCATATGAACTATGCTTGTCTTTTTCTCCAGTGAGACAAAATTCAGGATTTTATATACTTTGAAACTTTTTTGAAACAAAAGTATTTTCTCTATTTCTGCCCACAAAAACAGGCATCAAAATGAATACTACAGGTAGATTATCGCTCTGAGAAATTATATTTGAAGTTTCATATTTAAATACCAAAGTTTTTAAATCTCCCACATTAACTTTCTAACAGCAGTTTTTCTTAATGATAAATTTTATCAATCCCCAAAACTCATTTCAAAGTATTTAAAAGTAGCAAATTAGAGAAAGCAACACACAAATAAATTCCACATTTACAAGTAAAGAAATCACAAGGGCTACAGTTTATAATCAATATAAACTTGAAAGAAATAAAGCAATACTTTTCCTGCCACCCATCATCCACTGCTTAAATTTGTGGTGAAAAGATTTACCTATAATGACCTTTAGTCTGTGTTTTAACTCTGCAGATTCTGTAATTAGCTAAAGGCATTGAATAAATTAGTTCGTCCTAGTTTTTATTCAGGTCCCAGAGATAAATGGCTAATTTATGAAATATTTCACTCTGTGTTATGAGAATTTAGCAAATGAATATGGAACCAAATATAAACACTTTATACCATATGTACAGTTACTTTCATAAGGCATTATCATGTAATTTTTATTGAAAAAGAGTCAATATAGTAAAGTCTTATTTTAAGATATATTTTCTTTCTCAATCCGAGGTGTTTAGTTTATGAAAATATTGTTTTGCTCTATATTCTTTTTGTGTGTATATGCCAACATATACCTTGTGCTAGAAATATTTTATGGGAATTACAATTCTTCATATTTGTATTTTCTATATAAAGGCAGATACAACATTGAGGCAGTGTTTCTGATGGAGAGCAGAATTTGTAAAGAGCTTGTGTGTGCTTCCGTGCTTCCGAAATCATATGAAATCCACTTTGAGAAGAAACTTATTTGGTTAAAAAAACAAACAAACAAACCAACAACAACAAAAAAAACTGCACCAATGCACAGCCAGAGGCTGACAATTAAAACTAATACATAACCACATGAACATCATATTTATATAGTTAACATTTGTAAGGATGATCAGTGCTAACATATAGTATTATACATTTGGCACTAATGTTTGCCATTGGTCCAGCAATTGGCAAAATTTGTCTCTATGTATAAATTTATTTTTGAACATTAGGTCTGGCTAGACGTTATCTTCACTATTTATAAAAAATATTCAGACAGTAAGCTCACGTTGAATAACTAGGTCTACTGTGTTCTGGAAACTCTTCAGTAGTAATACAGCTTTTTCATGTTCCATATGTACAAAACTATGTCCATTTGCCTGTAAATATGCAAATAAAACAGGGCAATCAATGCAAGACATTTGTTTATCACTTTATCACAGTTTCCAATCATAAGAGTCAAGGGAGTATTGAGCAACCAAAAGTTATCAGTTTAAAAATTCACAGTAGAATTGCAATTGTGGAAACAACTAATTAATTTCACCCAGCTTCAACTCTATTAACCCAACAAATGTTTTTCAAGTACCTAGCCGGTTCTACCGAGGACCGTCCTAGTGTAGTCTTAGCCACTGTGCTAACTGCAGAAACGCACCGGTGAAGAACAGACATTCTTGAAATATGGCACTAGCTCAGTGTTGTTGTTCTGATTTGTTTTTGCAGGAACTTAGTTGAGACAGTTCTGAAGTGTCCACAGGACCACTGCCTTCTTGTTATAAATCACTGATATAAACCCTTCTGCGTGGTCAAATATTTCAGTCATGCAAAACATGACAAATCTTATTTTGACTCACTTGAAAGTTCTTACCTTGTACATTTTTATATTAAAGAGGTCATTTTTATTCCCCCCATTGTTAAATGCAAATATATCCATTAACTACAACAGTGGTTCTCAATTCCACCCCAGGGATAAGGCACACTGACATTAGTGACAGTGGACATGCCCACCATTCTTCTAGTCAAGAATCCTCAAGCTATGCAACCAAAATTCATTTTAAGCACAATTAGCTTAAGGTTACATTTTCAGGATTCAAACGGGCTATTGTTCGATATTTATTTCACAAAATGGGTGTGCTTCTTTGTAGCGAGTGCTCATGGGTCTTTGGTTTTTCTCTACATTAAATTGCAGATTTTCTTGATTGAATGAATTTTATTATTAATAGAGAGAAGTGGATCCCATAAAGCTTTGCTGTCATGAAGGCCACAATAAAAGACAACCTTCCTGAAACGTGGAAACTGTGTGAGTGACAGCTATGTGACTGTTCTCCTGTGGTCTGAGACTCAGTTGATTTGGAAGAGCCAGCCCAATTGGCTGCTTGGCAAAGTACAAGTAATAGAGCCAGTTAATTGGCTGATTTTTTTCAATTTTCAGTTGTCTGAGACTAATTTGGGGCACCCATTGCATTTGTGATTCTACCTTTTTATGCTTCCTTAAAATACGATTAATTTAATTTAAAATAACCACTCATTTAAGGTATTTCACACCTTTGGGTTTTTTGAATTTAAAACAGCAATACTGTATAATCTTTATAACTCAGGTGAAAGTTGTCTGCTTAATTTATCACTAGTTCATTAAAATTGGTTGGTTAATGACATGATAAAGAAGGCCCTAAAATATTGATTTTTTTAAAAAAACCATCGTACATCTCTGAATAAGGAAAATGCTGGGAAACAAAAACGTAAACTCATGGAAAAATATGTACAAATTTATTTTAAATTAAAGAATCTTTCTCTCTCTCTATATATATTATTTAATAACATTTACTTAATGCTATCAGAGTTGGCACTGGCTGTTTCCGTGGCAGGTAATAGTAGCTGTGTGTGTTCACAGCCCAAATTTCTTGCCTTAATTTATGGTACAAAACAGACAACTGGGTTTCATTTGATGTTATTTGATCAGATGGTGAAGTGGAATAGAGAATAGCATATGGTACACTCCGCTTTTTACTCTCCTGATTCTGACATCAGGAAAGTAGCAAACTTGGGCGAAATATAGTATGTTTATCCCACTATACTTTTGAAGGTCGTACTAACTACTTTAATGCCTTTAATTTGGCCACAATTTAAATACCTTAATTTAAAATTTAACTAATAGTGGAATTCTTGAATGTCAAATCTTAAAAATAACTAGATTTGTGAGTGCTCAGATTTCTCTAGCTGCAGACTAAAAAACTAGAATTGCAATGATCTCAAAATTCACTGAGAACTTTCAGGGACTTGTTCAAAATTTAAATATTTCATTGTCTGGGGAGAAGGAATGCGCTAGTATTTGGAGCCCATGCATGGTATATTGTCCATTATCACATCTGATCATGGTTTTAGAAACTATTGTCATAAAATAATAGGGAATAAGTGGTACAAAACTCAGATAGCCAACTGGTCATAGTTGTTAATTTTGAATGATACTTTTATTAAAACATCTTTGAAGTAGGATGGTCCACCTCTACCATCTTGATTTTTTTTCCCCAGTAAAAAATGTCTGTCATATGCTGACAGCACCCAAGGCGTTGTGCCAGGCACTGGGGATAGAAAGTAAGGGAGATGGAACACGAGGCTCCCATCAGAGGTGACCCCCCAGAAGGGGAAATAGCCATGGACATAACTAAAAATAATGTAGAAAATACCTTGCATGTAGTAAGCACTCAGCAAATGTATGCTGAATTGAATTAGCATCAGAAGAGATAAAGAATTAGGGTAGTTCAGAAGAAGAAAGAGAAGAGGGACAATTTCTAAGAAAGCTGTTTCTCTGAGGAACTTAACAAGAGTTTCTTGGTACTCACACCTGGCAAGTGTGACTAGCAAGAGATCACAAGTCCTTGTCTAGTCTCAAGCCTGGAGTCTCCTCCAGCCATGGACAGAATGGTTGGCCATTTCAAGTGAATTCTGCATCAGTCCATGTAGGGAGAAGAGTTGATTCATGTAAGTAATCATTTTTATGAAAATTAAAAAATAAAAATATCTATGAATTTAGATGACTTTAGCATAAGAAGCAACCATAAACATAAGCTAATGTGTAGGTAAGGTTAACTCATAGATCTTTTCTTCCAAAGGAAGAGAGAGAGCCCAATATGTAAAACATTTAAACAGACCTTTCTGGATAGAGAGACTGAGAGCATGAGAGAGCCAGGGAGAGAGGTGAGAGTTGGAGTGGGGATTATGCCCACAGACCAGTTTGCTTGCCAATACTTCCAACCCCATGGTTTTTATTATTATTTCTCTCAATACATCACTGAAATAATAAGACTTCTATTGCTTTCAGTGATTCGAACTGACATTTAATTGATTATGATAAAATAATGAACATTTTCTCATTAAAATTATTACTATAGTGCCTCCTAACATAATTCTGTTCTTTTACAGTGGTTGCAAAGCCGTAATTTAGATTCCTATCAGGTTTAATTGAACTTATTTAAAAAATAATAGTGGAAATAATATTTAGTCCTAAATTAGAATCTACAGAAATGTTGAATTTCTTGTTCTCACAGTTTTAACTGTAGCTTAATTGAGTTTTTGGAGCCATTTGTGAGCCTTCTCTCTCAAAAGTGGAATATCTGCTAGGGCAGTGCCAGGAGTCTTGAGAGGAAATAGATTAAAAAGGAGAAAGCTTTTAGGGTAGAATCTATAAACTTGGCACCTGATCAAACAAAGGAATAAGAAACAAACAGGAATCTAACCGTGATGCCCTTAACAGAAAATGGACACCCTGGTGGAACAGCAAAGCTTAGCTGGGAAGACAATGGAGTTTGTGGTGCGGGGGATGCATGCAAAGGAAATGTTGATCATTATTTAATAAGAAGAGATTAGAATTCAGGAGGAGGTCAGAGTGGCAGCATTAGCCACAGAGCTAAGGTTGTATTGCAGCGTGGTATTACCCACATGAAAGGCTGAGAGATTGATCAGAAAATAAGTTTAAAGGGAGCTTGTGAGTGAAGGGAAATCTGACTAGGGGAGCAGGATATGGCTGCAGGCAGCTTTGGACACGCAGAGCAGAACTGGAAGCTGGTGTTTGCTGTCTGTCGACCTGGGCATCCAGGAAAGTCTGTCTGTAATGAGGGAGGGAAAGGTGGGTGGCACAGGTCCTAAAGGACGGGGATTCTTAGGGGGACCAATGCACTGAGGGGAGAAATTAGGCAGGAGGAGAGCAGGGAAGAGTCATCCTGAATGGGAGTATGGCAGAGTGCTCACAAGATAGCAGGGAATCCTAGAGAATCAAGTACTTTCTAGTGGCCCCAGTGAAGCCCAACTTTGTGTAGCACAGAGGAAAGAACAGGGAAAAGGCATCGTCAGGCTAACTCTGGCCTTGAATCCGGGTTTGTTGCCAATGAACCAGGCTTCAAGACGTTCAGAACCACAGTTCAGTTTCGGAGTCAAGGCTAGGGAGGCCCTTTGTATAACTTAGCTTTTAATATAAAATGAAAGCCTCAGCTTTCAGTTTTCATGCTTTATAAGTACAAATGAGAATTGGAAACACAAGCAGAGAGCTGATTTCCCAGAAGAAATAAGCGGACTGATGAATCAGATCACCGCGTCAAATAAACATTAGGACTCTATCTGTAATTCCAGTCCCCCTAAACGTTTTGGATCTAAACCAGAGCTTTGGTGAACCTCAAGAGGCCGGCTTGAAAGACCACAACTAGCAACTGCCTGGGAATGGCTTCAAAATCACAGGAGGAGTTTGGAAGATCAGAGAGCGTGTCATTTTGGAAAGTTATTAAATATCAAATGAATTAATATATGTTAAATGCACAGGACACCCTATGCCTGCTCAATCAATAAATGTTAGCTTCTACTATTAATGTCACTTCACTATTACTTTCCTGAAATTAAGAAATATAATTTTCATTAAACCTTGAGAATAGAAGGACAAAATGCCAGAGGAAAGAACTTTTGTTTCGTGTTTAGTTAAGCCTAACTTTTTAAAAAGATGAGAATGTAAAGATCAGAGAGGTAAGGTGAAATAGCCAAGCTCACACAGCTAATGGCTAGGTGGGAACTTATGTCGCAGTAATCAATGATCTTTCCTCTTGACGTAATTTGTTTCACTGAATGTTGTGAGGTTGTAACAAATGTTTTAGGTTCGTTAAATAAATGCACTTTTGAATATTAATTCATTATTTCTTGATATGGAACATTATGTTAGGCCTGATGCCAAGGTGGGCAATAACAGAGGGAGTTCGAAGAGAGGTTTGAATGGAAGAAGATAATCTCAGTTCCAGGGAACCTTTTTCCATTCAGAAAAAGTGAATTTATATTGTTTGTTGAAGTGAATATGGCTATCTGGCTTACATCTCCAGCAGTTCAGACAGGGAATCAAATAATTATG